TTAAATCAGAAATCTGGTATCTCAAAATGTTAGAATATTCCATTTCGAGTTTGGGAAAAGTTTTAACCACCATCATGGGGTTGACCTGAAAAGGCTGCTGAACGTTGAGCCTTGTCCAGAAGACGACCATCAGCACCCTCCATGAGGAGCGTCGGCCGCAGAGTCACTGCTGAAGACGCTGGATACTGAAGCATGTTAATGGAAAGCTGAGTGGAAGGAACACAAGAGACGCCTGCAGCCTTCAGAGGACGGACAAGAAGGGTTGATTCAAGAACATCCTGGAGCTTCACGAGGAGGCTGGAAAGGGGCTCCGACTACCACTGGACCAGCCTCCATGGAGCCCCTCTACCACCACCAGGCTGGTCTGGTTTCTAAACTCTGTCCAGTCCATTCAGGTCGACTCAGATCAGCTTACAGACACACGTCAACAAATCACAGAACAAACCAATTAAACCACAACTTTGCAGCAAACATGGAGCACATCTGGATCCTCTCTGAAGGCTGCTCATCACTCAGCCCACAGGTGAAGGTGTCGTACTGGACCGACCGATTCACACACGAGGGGCAGAAGTTCACGTCCTAAAACTCCAAGTTTCAGTGAACGTTTTCCCACCAAACACTCCACAGCATCTCTTCTCCTGGTCGCCCCTAACAACCAAGATGTTACCTGTACCTGTGTTAGATAATAAGACACACTAACTGTCCAATGAGAAACCAGAGGGCAGCATCAGGGAGGAACTCCTCAACTCTCATATTGATCTAGTTTTCAGCAAACCTCCGTACAGCAGAATAAAACTCCTGAAATCCAGATGTGGTTTTTGTTTTCAATGCCACCCTGAGATGGTGGGTGGAGGCCTCCCTGAGTCCAGGCCCAGACATGACACCCAATGTGGGCCTTTAACACCCCTCTAGAGCGATATCTTCCTGTGGTTTGTGCATAATCCACCTATTCAATCACATTTTAAAGTCACAGTTGAAGTTACTTTGCCTGATAAACTGGGTGAACTGGTGCTGGTTGATTAGTGAACTGGGATCCTGTGTCAGGACAAAGTCTAGTGAAGCTTTACAGCCAACAGCACAGATCTTTAGTGACCCAGAAGCTCTGCAGCAGAGTGTGTCAGGAAGCTGCGGGTCCAGAGGTCAGCCCATCAGCTGATCGCCACCACGGCTGCGCAGACAGCCGCTCAGGTAAACTGGGCCCAGAAGCCCAAAACCACAAACCAAGCTCAGTCCTGGACAACAAGCGGGAGTCAGAGCGGCTGTGTCAGTGCAGGGTCAATCCACGTAGCAGGAAAACCCAACGTTTCCAGCTGAGAGCGGCTCGGTTCCGTCCGGGTCAGCGGGACTGTACCTTGGTGAAGACGTCCAGGTCCTCGTCCTCGTCCAGGTCCAGCATGTGTCCCGAGAAGTCCGCGGGGACCGTCTGTCCGCTCATTCTAACTTTCTAAATGAGCTGGGCTCATCAGACAGACCTGAGGAAAAACTTCCAGCTCAACTTCTGGAGCAGCCGAGACGCACCGAGGACCGCACTTCCGCCAGCGCGTTTCAAAATAAAAGCGAAGCGTCTGCAGCCACCGCGCGAAGAATCACTGATTCAACACGGATTCATTCAAGATTCACTTTATTGTCCCGGGTAATTTCACCCATGCTGCAGCCAACACAAGCAGACACAAACAATGAATAGATAGAATAAATAAATACATCAAGTAAAAGCAGAATAAAAGGAACATCATCGTCTAACTTCATGAGACGTGGTACTTAAAAAAGAAACCCAAAAAACAGGATTTGTTGTTCAGAATTAAATATGTGCACGTCTACTTTTGTATTCCTTCATTCATTCATTAATTTTTCCATTTTCATGTGTACTTCAGCATCTTTGCCAATATTACTTGTTTTATTTCTGTGTAAGCTTTATATCAGCTACTCTTTTTATTTTCAGTAATTTATCCTGCCGGTGTCCTGTTGTCGTTCCAGCAGGCACTGCGTTTATATTCATGCTCTTGTATTTTTTTCTGACTCAAGAATTTCCACTGGAATTCATGAAATTCCATCTTATGTTATTTTGTTTTAATTCTTATATTAAATGGAGCAATACGTTGGCCAGAAGCCGTTTGTATGATTTCCACCTGCGTCCGAACAATACGCGCTGCAAATATATTAATCTTTGTCAATGTAGAATTTAATTTAATACACTAATTATATTTTATATGTGATGGGAAAAACAACATTTAGCTACAAACATTAAATAAACACAGGAGCATAAAACTCACAATTTTACCCTAAAATACCATAAAATACTCAAACATACATGTACATCACGACTGCACTTTAATAGATTAATTTAGTTATTTCTCCCACTGGAACTAAATTAAGGTCAACTTTTGGCTAACAGCGGCTTTTACTTTGGTGGGAACCAGCAGAGTTCCGCCGTAACGTCGCCGCTCTTGACAGCCGCAGCTCTGACCGCGCAGATGCGGAAGGCTGAGCCCGGAGCAGGAGTCGGTCCTGGAAGTGTGAGCGGGGAGGAGCAGATGATGACAGCTTCCTCAGGACATGGAGGAGGTCTGAGCGGCACCAGCGTCGGAACCAGACAGCGGAGAGCAGGACGGGTCTGAAGTGAGGTCCCTGCGCAGGAAGCTGCTGCTCCAGCAACAGACTGAGAGTTCAGAAGTCTGAGCACAAGCACAACATTAATAATGTATGGACCGGGACGAGTCCAGCACAGGGTTCTGCTTCAGAGAGAGCCTCTGGTCTGTCTCAGGTTTAGCTGAGAGTTTACCTGTTTGTTACTCAGTATCCACAACAACTAATAATAATAATAATAATAATAATAACAATAAACTTTATAGATCACTTTTCCAAACAAATGTTACAAAGTGCTTTTCAATAAAATCAATTAAAAATTAAAGTACCATAAGCACACAGAATAATTGATAAAAGCAGAAATCACACAAATAGATTTTAAAACAATCAAAGGGTTCTGTTGTCAGTTCTGCTGGGTTCAGACTCCACACGGTCTATCTGGGCCTGAAGCTGTTCTATCAGCCGGCAGGAGGCCAAAACCAGTCCGACTGTTAAAGCCTGTGAGAACATGAGCCTACTTCACCTCTATCTGTTACCATAATAAACCTTTCCACAGCTTGTTTCAGACTGTTTGTTCTGGAAGCTGTGGGACCAGTTACAGTAAAACAGATCAAGCAGGGTGTGTTAGAAGGCGGGGCTACCCTGTGATTGACAGCTCTGAGTCTCCAATCAGATCCACTGTTACCTCATTATGTCCAGATTCAAAAGATGGCGACGGCCAAAAGCCAAACTTGAATCTGCAAAGCTGCAGATGTCAAAACCGCCACCTGCTGTTTACCGGCTGTTTTCAGACCCATAACCGCTGAAGGTTTCATCCTGTGAATCTCTGGGGGTGAACCGCTGCATTGAGCTAATTGGTCATAAAGGAGACGAGCAACAGCGTGGGATAGCTCATAGCTCACCTGGTTGAGCTGGCGACCCACGTTCAGAGCTGCAGTCCTCGATGCAGCGGCCGTGGGTTCGAGTCCTGGTCATGATCCATTCCTGCAAGTCCTTCCCCTACTCCAGTGGTTCTCAAACTGGAGGTCAGGATCCCCGTGGGGGTTCCAAGATAATTTCAGGGGGTCATCAGATCATTGTAAAAAGAAAAAATACAAAAATAAAAATAAAGCCAATTAAATGTGTATCAGGGCTGTCAAAATTAAAAGTGTACACTACTTCCCACTCCTTTATCGAACTTGTTAATATCATGATTTGATTATGTGGTGTTATTATTCTTTTTTGCTCTTTTTAAAATTATTTTCTTTGTTTTTTAAATATTTTTTCCATTTCATTTTTTTGAAATAAATTCAGTTAATTCATTCATTCAAAAGAAAATGAACGTGTTAATGTAAAGAGATGAATCTGTGGAATTAACATGTTAATTTTAACACATTAATGCCTGAACAACAAGTTATTACTCATGAGGTATTAAGAATTCAAACTGGGGAACACAAACTTCTGTTATCTTGGTGGTTGTGGCTCAAAAAGTTTGAGAACCACTGATCTAAGGCAATAGAAATGGTAAATGGCTTTAGCTTAACTAGCTAACTGTCCTGAACTCCTGTTTGCTTCATAAAATGACTGCTGCATAAAAATATATTTTATATTATTTTACAATCATGTTTAAAGTCAAGTTTTATTTCATGAAATCTCTGTCCTCAACTCAACTTTATTTATAAAACACTTTAACACGACAAAAGTCGAAACAAAGTGCTGAACACAAAATATAAAACAATTTAAAATGTCTAAAATGCAAAATACACTAAAATTATAATAAAATCATTAAAGGACAATAAGAACAGTAAAAACAATAAAACAGGAGTCTCATGCCGGGTAGAAGGCCAGGGCATAAAAATGCGGTCTGATTTAATTTAGACAGATATCATTTTGAATTTTGTCTGCATGACTGATGAGCGGCTTTAGGAAATGTCTGGATGTCGTTATTGTTGGTCAATCTGGTGATCATTTTATTCAACAATGTTTAATAGACGGTCAGTAGGACTCTCAGTGACCCCATCTGACCTCGACAACCCCACGTCTTCCTGGTTTAACGTAAGAAAATATGTCCTCACGTGTGTTGGCGTAAAACTCGACCAAACAGCTTCAGAAAACCTTTCAACATCTCCGACTCCAGCCTTCTATCTGCGGCTGCTGCTGCTGCTCCTCGGAGCTCATTTCATGCTCAGCCAGTGCGCTGCACCTGAAACAATATAATATATTCCTGTGTATTTGTCAGAGCAAGACTTCCTATCACCTTCAGCCTTGTCAACACATGGCTGCACTGTCAGGCTCTCCGTCGCCTCGAGGACTCAAATAACTGTCAGAACACAAAGAGAGAGTGCCGGCTAACACGAGGGAGCTGTGTACAGATGGAACAGCCATTTGCATAATGTGATCATAATCTTTATTTACTGAAGTGTGGCTGGCCTGCAGGCGGCTCTGGCAGACAACCACCAGCCGAGCGCCCACCAAAAGATGTCACTGTTGCACAAGCCATGCCGTCGTCGCCTTCAGTCGCTGACGGAGGCGTCCTGGCCATCGATCACAGGCTGCACCTCCCTCCCTGTGCTCAGCACCACACATCCACCTCCTCTCCACAGGAAAACACTGGATCCTGAAGAAGAGAAGGAACTCATGCAGGTGTGTTTCTCAAAATTAAATGTGCACATATATTTAGAATGAGAGCTCCTCACTGAGTAACCAGAGACGAAGAGAGTAAAAGAGGATGTTGTGTTTATGTTGTGTTCTGGTTTGAACTTTAAATGCAACATCATAGTGCAGCCAAACGGACGCCATACAGCAGCTGGATTGTCCAGAGTCGTAAGTAAATTAGGACTAGAGTAGACGAGTACAACTAAAGCCCGGCTATAGTCAACAGAATATCGATGAACTAGTTTGTCCTGTTGCATAGAAAAGATGCACGAGTTCACAAAGAGGAAATAAAACAAAAACCCAATCAATCTGCTTTGCTGTGGACATGTGACCCATTCAGCTCCAGTGGTGCTTCTACTGCATTCCAAAAATAAAATAAAAAACGCAATCAGTTATGTTTGCTGATACATTTCTGGTGTCACATGAGGAGACAGATGTAAGCCGAACATCACTGTGTTTACCAGAAGTAATCCTGCATGTGGTTTAACATGTAGGCACCAAGGACGCCAACAGACTGAGGAGAGCCGCTCTGGTGTTGGCTGCCAGGTGGTCACCTGGAGGAGGAGGAGGTGGAGCAGAGGACCAGACTGTAGGTCATCATGGAGAACACCTCGCAGCCCCTCCAGCAAACTGTGGACAATCTGAGGAGCAGCTTCAGCAGCAGACCGATAGAACCTTGCTGCTCCAAGGAACGTCACAGCAGGTCTTTTCTCTATAAGACTCTTTAGCGCTTTAATCTAAGAACATTCACATATTCTGTCCATTTGCACATTTCTGTTGTCTCTCTTATATATTCTTGTAAATTCTATATTATATTTTCTATATTTTTTTAATCTTATTTTATTTCAATTTAAGTCTAAGACACAACCTGTTGGAGCATGTTCCACCTCAGCGTTACGTCGGGTGCCTTTTCCACTGTCGTCTGGTCATACCTAGTTATTGGCCTTTGTTGTGTATAAATATATTATCCCATGTGGTTTAAAATATAAAAGAAGTTACATATATGCACATAATCATGAAACGTCTCCTTTTGGAGAAGTTTCTTGAGTCTTTTCCTTATATGGTTTTACAGGACAAGCAACAGACGGAGGGAAAGAAGTCCATACAAGGATGCAACTACTCAGTGTGATGAAGATGGGCTGCAATCAATTGTTTTGTGAAATGACCATGCATCATGTGACTTAGCAGCATAAAGAGGGGTCAGAGTGAAAGGGAAGTGGTCTTGCTCTGTCTGATGCTAGGGAGAGTTTGACCCAGAGCTCTGTAATGCAATATTCAAT